GTAGATCTTATCAACACCCCCAGCGGGAGTCGAACCGTGACAGTGCAGAATGTGACTTTGACATGTTGACCACTCAGCCACATTGCCACGTTTGCTTCATCGACAATCCCACCAAAGAGTGAGATATGGGAAATGGCCTGGCCTTCCTTGAAGTTCACATTTGCCCTGGACACTCGAGGCAATGTGGCCGAATGGTTAACGTGTCAGGTTCACATTCTGCACTGTCACGGTTCGACTCCCGTTGGGGGTGTTGATAAGGCCGATGCAAGGTCGAAACTGCAGTCCACTGGTGCCTGGATGAGAACTACTTTTGGGAAAGCAAGGCTATGTGGAATTCAATGGAAACGTCAGTTCTATTCATATAATTGTAAAAAAATTACACTACCAGTCCTTCATCACCTTAAACTTTCTAGTGTTTAAATCTTTTTGTGGGATCGACCTTGGATCCCTTCACTACACACTATTTCAATCAAGATATACGTAAGCTTAAGACTTAAAAATCGGCTTGACCAATTTGTACTTCTCTCAAAAGTGGTGAGGTTTGCTTGATTTGATCTATGCCGAGGTTGCCAATGAAGTAACATAGAATCAACAAGAGAAAATAGCCCACTAAAACTCTTGCCTACTCCCTACGGAACAAGTAAAATTTCCACTTCATTTTCCTGAATAACCGCTTTATGAGGAGACCATTTTTTTATGTATTCGTGACGTGTGGAATGCTCATAATGAACAGTAAAAGTAAATTGCATACTGATCAGGCAAACAGTCAGACAGATAGACAGAAAGATAGGCTCAGTACAAAAACCAAGCCCGGAGGTGTGGCCTTAACTATACTGTTCCTGTGGCAATTTAATTAAGAGAAGCGAAATCTACCGAAAAGTTCGTCATATGGGATGTTACATTTTTCTCTCAATCGAGGATGCGGTGAGTCAAGGTCCACCAGGTCTGATGTTTTTTCGTCGGGAGGTGGTGCTAAGTTGACATGCTTGAGCAGAGACAAGTAGCTTTGGTTTGAGCGTGAACCAAGCAGCAATACTCCAAATGCCGAAGTCACTTCCAGTTCGAGTGAAACATGTATTATAAATAAATGCGAAGGTCACTTTCACCAGAGGACGACGTCGGATTGCTCCTGCCCCGCCGTCGGTTGGCTCTTCTAGAATATTCTGGCTGACACTGTCCCTGAAGCACTTGCCCTCGATTCTGCTAGAAAGATGATAAATTAGAATGTTCCATGATGTTCTCGAATGTTCCAAAAAGGCATTGCTTTCTGTTGAGATCTACTCTTGAGTTTATTTATTGGACATTTCATTAGAAATCCAAGTGAGCTCATCTGTTCAGCGTATAAAAACTTCGACTCTGCGACTGGACTCAGACCAGCTACCTTCCAATCGGCTCAACGCGACCGGGTGGTGGTTGTCCTCCAGCCCTGAGCCGGCCAGGAGGTGCTTCGACGCTGAATGCTGTAGCAAATCGAAAGATCTGCGATTGCTTTTAGCGTGATCCAACCACAAGGATAGGCCTCTGCTCCGGCAACGCCTACGTACCAGAGCGTTGCCTAGGCCCTAGAAACAGGTTGACAAGCGCACACTAATTCAGTTATCGTCGAAATCCAGCTCCGCTTAGGTTAGACGTTTCTGACAAACGGTACCAGCGGTCGTAAGCATGTCACTAGACTCAACCACCTCTTTGCGTGTGTAGATGTGCGGGTCTGTACTGGTTTGTGCGGGCTTGTGCAAATTTGCGTGTTCCGTCGGCCAACAAGGCTTCCTGTCATGCATCCCCCAAAAGCATCCTAGCGACACACCTTTTTGTGTCCCTGTTATAATGGCCGATAGCCTAGGCAACTGGTCTGACAATCAGTGCTACTGAGGCTGTCTGGAGAGCGTTTGAATGCATGTCCACCTTACATTTACACCTCAGACTGAGGCAACCGATGCCACTGGGTGGGGCGGCCGGTCACCAATGCCAAGGAAGCTGGGCGGTTTAGAAGAGACCATGTAGTAACGCGGCACAAATGCATGTTGGCACTGGGATGAGGCAAGATCGGCGTTCGACGTTGTCTTGTTATCACTGAACTTGACAGTTATTCCACGTGAAAAATAAGAATAAAAATAGGAATAAATTGGTATGTGAAAGGGGGGAGGCCAAATCCTCAACCCGTGCGGTCTTGAAGAATGAGGTTGGAGATTGACTTGGTGGCTAGAGTCTCGCAGAGTTTCAGGAATACCGAATGATTCTGCTTATGCGGTACCACCATCCCAAGGCAAACTGACCTGTTTTTCAGTTTAAAGGTAAGCTCGAAAGGAGAAATACGAAGTTTTGGGTTCTTTTGCAATGTACACGTGAAGTGAACTTGGGATTTGAGGGATCTACTGAGACAACAGGTTTATGGTAGCTTTCCTTGCGCGTGATTTCATCCGATGAAGACATTCATATTTCGATTCAAAAGATTCCCGTCGTTCTGCAAGCTTTTGATTTAACCTTCAATTTCAGGTTGGCGCAGACCATATCAGGCTGATCCTTCGTCTTTCATGCCATTTGTCAAAAGTTGTAACTCATTCTTATCAATGTTTCAAGGTAACATCTATTTGGGAGAACCAATAGGTCCTGGATTGGTTGCTAGATATCCTCACAACTAAAAGAATAGATGAATATTAAGAGAAAAATTTCTCTTAGTTTAGTATAGTTTTTGTCCTTTTTCGTAAATTATGGAAGCTTAACACAAACTCATTTGGATTACAGGACTGTGAGCTGAAGACTTATTCGTACAATCCAACAATCTTTACTCGGCAACATCCCTTCTTCGATTTCAGATGCGGTCATTTCACGAAGGCTTTTCAACTAAATTTTCCCTCGAAATGGAAATTCATGATACTTACCAGAAGACTGTGACCACAATAGGGACCACATCATCTTAGCCCACATACCTTCGATTGAATGTGATTAATATTCGAAGATTCACTGTATTGACTAGTTGGGTCATCTTTTTGCCAGTTCGGGGTGAACAAGAATGGATCATCTGAGGTGATTAAAGTACTGCTGGTTGAGTTTGCCAACAATTTTAGTGAAGTTCACTTGATCTTGCCCCACAGTTTCTACCTCGCCCATCTCGAAGCCGTCTCGGGTGCTTGTAGTTGGCAAGGCAGATGGGATCCCTCACTGTAAGTGACCTATGGCAACCAAGT